TGCGGCTTAATTAAAAATGTTCCTCGTGAAATTCTATTAATAGCCATCATATTTTTCTAACTATAACCCTAAATATAATGTGGTTTTCTTAGATTTAATTTTACACGCAATTTTTTACTTAAAAAACAAACCAAATTTGTTTTGACTATCACATTACACCTGATCTTAAATTTTGATTGGTCAAAATTACAGAGGGTGGAAAAAATTTTGTGGGACAGCTACCTAAAATGATTTAGATAAGCATTTTGATCAGGTGCATATTTGATATACTGCTATATAAAATACTGTAAATATATATTACTATACAAAAATTTAAAAAAAAGCATATAGTATTAATATAATATAAGCACAATTATATAAGTTAATGTAATTATTCATGTTTTGTAATCATAATCATAGTAGTTTAGTTAAGCTTATGTAATTAAATAGAAGCAAAATAATTAAACTTAATGGTTTATTAAAATTATTAAATTTGTAGGAATGATTTATTAATTTAATTGATTTATCAGGTTTATTATTTTGGAGGTTGCTATGTTTACAGGATCAAGATATGAAGAAGAGCAAAGTATATAAACTCAATCATTCAAAGTTATTTTTAAGATAAAAAAATAATAATAAGATAAAAGTCATACTAACTTTCATATTATTTTATATAATAATAATAATAATTATATAATAATATATAATTATTATTATTATAATTTTTTAGTACTGTATAAGTGCAAAAAATGCCCAGGGTATGATTTCGAATTTCGGCTTGCAGTAAGCTTAATTTATGTCGAAATTCAAAGTAATGCCCCTGGGCGTTATTTCGCAAAGAAAATTTACTCAAGATATATTTGCATTATTTAGAGTACCTCTTGATAAACAATATTTTTGGTTTTAGTACAGCCAGGTGGAAGTTTGACTCGTATAGAAGATAAACTTTTTGCTCTGAAAAAGGCAACATATAGTTGTCCGTGACTAAAGACTGGGTCAGTAAGCATTAAACCAACACATTGAAATGTTTGACCCTGTAACTTGTTAATTGTCATGGCGAATGCAAGTCGAGTAGAAAACTGAATTCGTGTGAAATTAAAAGGCAGAAGATCATTAGTTGGCTGAAGCTTGATTCTTGGTAGTAAAACTCGGCATCCAGCAACATTTTCAGTTATAAGCTCACAATCTAGAACATGATTATGCATTTGTCGCATGATCATTCTGGCACCATTACAAAGACCTTGGGTAATATCCAAATTACATAGTAGCATTATTAAGGCTCCTTGCTTGAGTGTTAAACGATATGGCGGCAGTCCATTAGAAGTGAGTGAGTATAGAAATTCTTCTGGAAATTCTGTTGGGTCTTCACCCTGATCACAAACTATTTTGTCAATGCTAAAATAAATTTTTTCTTGCCGGACATTCATTGAATTACTTTATTACAGACTTCAAGGCTCATTTTATTTGTTGGGCATAGGATAACTGTTGAAAGTAAGACGGCCTCATCTCTATTTTCCAAAGCATTACCAAAAACGTTTGTTACTAAATTATTTGTCAAAATACATTGTGCTGGAAAGGAGTTCAATTCCAAGTCCATGCAATATATGACATAATGTTTGGTATAAAAATGTCTTCCCGGTTCTACCAGGACCATCAACGAAGAAGTATTTATCATGATTATTTGGTTGATTAACTGCAGCTATAACTTTATTGGCTATAAGCCGTTAAGCATCATTTAATTGGGCATACATTCTTTTACCAGCTCTATATTCTTGGTCTCTGTCAATTTGTTCCTCATCATTAAATATATCTGTAGCAATAGGCTGTTGGTATATGAAAATCGGTTTCGAGAGATTTTTTAAAATGTGCTAATTTCTTATTGATATCTTGATAGACAAGAAACAGAGTGACTTCAGTACTATGATTATGAAGCAAGTCTTCATAAAGATATATTTTATATTGATTCCAAAGCAGAAAAGGATCGCTAATATTACCCCAAATTAATATCGTCGCAAATAGTTGTCTCAATTCTCTTGGCATTTGCCACTTAATTGCTTCATTCATACATCTATTCCATTCGTTATCATTATCCAGCAATTCTCTCATTAAAGCTGCTTCGTGAAAAGAAGTACATATGTGTTCCTGGACAGTTTTAAGTTCTTTAAAGCTAGTAGCGCTGGGAGTATGTAAAAGCAAAAGTCTGAGGCAGAATCGTTCCATGTCTGACAGTGAAACAGTATACATTCTACTAATAATTTTCTCAGTATGTTTGACACATTTTTTTCATATTCTAGTTTGTTTATGAAAAGTGTAAAATAATGGAATATCAAAATATGGAATTTGTCTTGCATCTATGTCATGTTCATTTAATTTAAACCATGTAGTTAGCATTGTATTTTGAGATGGTAAGGAATTTAAGGGTTGAACTTCGCTTCCGGCACTAAAATAAATATTGTGTTCGTCGGGCAAATGCACTGGTAAGTGAATAATAGAATGCGACTTATCCTGCATTTTGTATTCACTCAACCTCCAATATGCTTCAGATGCACTAACATAACAGGAATCAATAAGGCTGAAATTTCGTCATGGTCAAGTATTTGTACTTGGTTACCTTCAATAGTTTGTAGTCTCAATTTTGCACAATCGTAACCCTTAAAGATGTACTTGTAAAGATACTTAAAGCTTTTCACTGAAGAACAAATTTCAACATTAATATGAGCCTGATATTTTAGCAGCAAGTAGGGATTATGCGGCAAGATCCATTGATTGGTTACTTCACGTCCTCCAACAGTTATTGTTCTGCCAGTATCTCTCTGCCGATATTTTGGATATCCATTATAATTTACAATAGTCTCTTGGCGATAATCTTTGGAATATTTTTTTGTACATGTAGATTCATGTTCCCCACTCATACATGGTGCTTCACGATTCAAGTGCTTACATGGACCATAGATTATTGTTTTCCCAATAATTTCATATAGCCGTGGATGCGTAACAGAATTTGGTATTTCACAGTTTACTATTTGTTTAATAATTTTAGATTCTCTTGGCTTATGTTCGTCAGATAGAATTAACAACATATGACAGTGTGGCAAGCCACATTTTTGGAATTCAATTACCCTTTTATAGGCGGTGACTTTTCCAAAAATTTCATTCTTCAGCAAATCCTCCATTAATATATCAAGCTTGAGTTTGAATACTTTGTCCACAATATTGGGTCTATCAGCAGCTGTTTGTCCTGTATATAAAGATTGAGTAATTTCATTCCAAGTCGGATTACACATAATAGTTAAAAAAATATCAGGCTTGCCAAATTTTCAGCATATTGCTATAGCGTCTTGATAATTTTGCTGCATTGCTCGTAAACTTTCTGGAAAGCTTGATGATAATACAACTGCGTGCCCTACAGTAGCACCTCTTTTCTCAGCAGCAATAGCTAAATAGTCTGATAGACCACGATATGTTTCAGCCCGTAATATTATTTGATTCTGTTGTTGGTAGGTTGGTTTTGTTGACTCAACCTTCACATATGCATCTACTAAGTATTGCTGAAAAAGTGCTTCAGCATGAAGGATTGGATTGAAGATATTTCTTTGTGCTATACGATAACAATAAAATTGTAGCATTGAGATATTTGTTCTTTTGGTTTGATCTTGTTTATTATTTGACATATTTGGATGCCAGCCTTTGTCACCTCTCAGAAACAGCAAAGGATATGATATCGGATCACAGTCAGCATTAATTACAGGAATTTTTTTAAGTTGAGCACTACGTGGATACACTGCAAGACAATGGGAAGGTAAATTTTCATCTATAGAGACAACAAAGATTTGCAGTGACCTCATTCACACGTGGGGGGTTATAACGGCATTGATCAAAACAACAGTCATTATCAAAAACTATTTGCACTTCCATTGGATGCCGGCCTTGTTCTATTGCAGTATTATGCTCGTTTTGATATACTTCTCGCATCATTTGAAATGCTTGTGCAAAAGGGCTCACTTGCCGAAGTATCGAATCTAACAGCAAAAGTAATATCAGATCGAGTTCTGTATTATTGGATTATCTTTTCGATATTCTTGAGCATCAAATGTTTCCAAAAAATAAAGCTACCCAAAGGTTGGAATTTTATCTGTATTTGGCTGTACCGGACCAAGGAAATGATAAATTTGTCCTGATATCTTGTATATATATATGGTCCACGTCCAGAAGGTGTTTGAATATTTGATACAATAGAGGCAAATGCCATAGCACCATTATATTTACGAATGCGTTCAAAAAAAGTTTTAAACAATGAATGCTCCCAAAGAAAAAGTGATTTAAGCTTATCAGAAAATAGTAAAAGAGGTGATAGTAGAACGGCACCCTTATGGCAACAGGATATAAACTGGTCCAAGTCACCAGCAGTTCTCTCTCCTGGAAAATGAAGTGCCCCACAGTGATGACATTCAATATCCATGTTTCCAATATCGACT